CAACTACAATTCAAAACTCAGCCATCTGGCAGGGGTAAGAAAGTGGCTCATACCATCTTCACCTCAAGTTCAAGAGACCAGGGCGAATCTAGAACCACCCCTCCCCCAACTCCTGAACAGGGCACATGTGAATAAGATAAATTGATATGTGGATCCAGGAACCTGACATTCAGTATCAAAGAGATATCTACATAATATAAATCAACTCCATCAAAAGTGAAACTGACCAGAACCAACCCAAAAGCAATAACAACCTCAGAATAAAATACATTGAGGGATAGCAGAAGGAAAAAAAAACATAATCTCCAGTAACTCCACTGTGACCCACAACACTGATGGATTATAATTCAGGGAGGAAAATAGACATCCATAATACAAGTGTGAGGACTTATATTGGTTGGTTCTAGTGTACATCCAAAACCCAGCCACTGGGAACCAACTTCCACTTGAGGATAAGATGAGGGATCCCAATCGAAAGAGTGAACTGTAATTTTGACACCTCACTTCCTCGTTTTTTTATGTTTCAGGAGGATATTATATCATCTACACCAACAGAACACCATCACCCTCTCAACTGAATGGTTTTATAATCATTTCTATATTCTGTTTATATTTCATTATCACATTCAGGAGGATGTCTTCACAGTCCACCACCCCAGCAGCTTGGAACAGGAAAGTGGTAAGGACTCTCTAGCTCCACTAGAAGAAAAGGGGGATAAAACACGGCAGAGAGTCCAAAGGAATGTCAACACCCGAGACAGTGCAATGGATGACCACGAAACCCTATTTTTTAAAAGCAGACCATCCTAATTTATTCAAAACAAGGCATGGCAGGAATGGACAGCTATCCCTTTCTTCATTACCCATGTAGTCCATGGGTGGGTACAGTCTGGGATGGGCAAACTTATGAAGCAATTTTGTTGAGAATAAACCTAACAGCAATATTGTGGAACACCCCATCTCAGAAGTGTGCATTGCATGGCAATGTAATTATAATATGCAAAGCGACATGGCTTGACAGTGCAGATAAGAACAGGTAAAAATACCTGGTAAGACACCACTCGCCACAGAGCAGAATCCAAACAATGAATAATAATAATAATAAAAAGGGAAATAATTCCCCTGAAAATAAAATAAAGGAGAATAAACAATAACTACCCAGCCAAAGTTATACTGAAGTCTGAAGAATGGCTACAGGCAAAAGATGACAGCCTGAAGAAGAAGAAACTGTGATCCTATGCAAATAGTGAGAGACAAACGAATTAGGAGTAGTCTACATACCTAACTGAAGAATTTCCTCCAATGTACAATGATGATGAAACATTAGAGAAAAAGTAAGGTAGTGAATATGATGAGAAGACGGGAGGAAGCTGATAGAGAGGAATAAGCCAATCGAATCAAAAGCTGAACCCAATTGGTGAGGATGGAAGGAGAAAGATCATGAACATAAGATGATTGCCAAGGAATAAAAAGGCAAGAACAGGCACTACAGAAGGAAGCCATGCAGGCAATATAACAGCAAAGAGCACATACAGGACGTAGAAGTCTATCCAGATCTGGTGGAGGATAAAGGTGGGAAATGGAAGGTAAAGAAACTGGTGAAAAGGAGGAGTTACCCTCCCTAGCCATCAAAGTTTTGTGAAGAAAAAAAAATGATCCAGATAAAGAAGAATATATGTAGGATGACAAAGAATACGTGAAACATCAATGGAATATAAATTGGACTGCCAACATTTACAGGCTAAGAGAAGGAAACAAGTCTTAACGGAAAAGTGAAACAAGTAGCACGTGGAAAGTGGTTTGAATGGAGGCAAAGTGATACAGTGAAGGACCACATTAACATTGTGCATAGGAGAGGTAAATACAATATGGTATCGGAAAAAACGAAAGTTGTGGGACAAGGCCACCCAATAACCCGAGATTGAGGAGATAGAAGACCCCTGATCAAAAAGTAAATTAAGAAAATCTGCAATATGAGAAACAGTGGGACAATCAGCTGAAAACCCTCAGCCCAGAGACCAACAGTGAAAAACGTTCCATTTACACTGATAAAGGAAGAGCAAATGGGAATGAGCCAGAAATGAAGCTACTCGTTGGGACAAGCCTGATCTCCTAGCCAAGGATGAGATAAAAACCAAGCATAAAGACAGGGGACAGGAAGAGCTGGATGAAGCACCAGTGATCAAGAGAGAGAGACAGAGGAATAGTTAGCAGAGGGTTAAGTTGGAGCTGGAGAAGACACAGAAATCATAGCTGAGCCAGCCAGTAAGGAGCAATTGGAAGGACTCCACATGAAGTGGTATGGATGATCAAAATCAGCCAGTGAAAAAGTCGAATGGGAGGATAAACATATAGGTATTTGGCAGTCCCATCCTGAGTGAAAGCAATGCCAGCCAGAGCAAGTGGAGAGGGACTGGAGACAAAACAGAGGTAATTTGTGGTTGAGGGATATGGCAAAGGCATCTATGTGAAGAGTACCCTACTGAAGGCAAAGCCACTGGAAAACAAGAGGATCGAGTGACCACTCTATCAGATAGATTTTGTGTGGATGGGAAAGACCATCTGTGACAAGACTGAAAGCACCCAGAACATGACCCACAACGATATGAATATCTTGCATGTGGACCTTAAAAGAACATGCAACGTATGAAAACATGAGGATTGAGAATGGGTGCCACCCTGGTCATTGAGATAAGCAACCACTGTAGAATTGTCAGAATGAATCATTACCAGACAATGTCTAGCTAGATGGAGGAAATCAACCAAAGCCCAACATACAGCTAGAAGCTCCAGGATGTTGATATGGTAAAATCTCTAGGCTGCAGACCAACACCCCAAGTCCTCATGTTGATCGACCCACGCTCCCCATCCCTGAAGGGATGCACCCATGAAAATATGTAAATCTAGATGAGGAGGATAAAACTGTACACCGGCTGACATGTGGGTCCTGTCCAACCTCCACTGTAGATCATCAACTAGGGTAGGAGGAAGGGTAAAAAGATTTTCAAAGGATCTCATGCAAGATTCCACTAGATGTGAAGAACACAATGAAGAGCCTGCATATGAGCATTACCTAAGAGAATATGGGCTGTCATGGAAGACCATATCCCCAAAAGCAATAGAACCTTGCAAACTGTAATAAAGAGAGCAGTAAGAGCATCGAGAACTGAAAGATCTATCAAACAAGGAGAAGGTTGGTCCCAATTGAGATGGGTGTTTGAAAAAACACCCAAATGAATCAGATATTGGGTAGGTTGAAGGAATGACTTCTACAATTTGATTAACCAGCCAACTTGAGCCACTTTCAGGAGCAGCTGATGAGTATGACAGGCAGACTCCTGTTTGGAAGGAGCTAACAGTAGCCAGTTGTCCATATAATAAGGAAAGCACAAACCAAGAGCATGTAGGTGACAAGCAAAAGCTCAGATCACCTGACAAAAAACATACAGGGTCAAAGCAAGCCCAAAGAGTAGTGCATAAAACTTATAAATCACCCTGTGATGAACAAACCAAAGCTATGGTTGAAACTGCCAAGATATCAGGATATGCAAGTAAGCATTTGCAATGTCCATCTTGTTCATCCACAAACTTGTAAAAAAAAAGCCCACTTTACGGTGAGAAACGATTCCATGGTAAAATGGGGAGACTGAGATAATAGATTGTGGTGAGAGAAATCTATTACAGGCCACTAGTCTCTGGTTTTCTTGGGGACAACAAACAACCTGGAA